AGTAGGACAAGAGATGTCCAGAAAAAGGAGTGAAACAGCAGCCTTGGTCTAGAGATGACTGGAGCCTTATATAATTCTTGGACTTCAACTCCCAGAAATCCTGGCCAGCAGAGCTAGTGTTGAAGGCTTCTGGGAGTTTTAGTCCAGGAACATCTGGGGACTCCAAGGTCGGGAACCACTGCTCTGGAGAGCCTGAACTTTAGAAAAACTACTACTAAAATCAGAACTGCCAGTTCCTCATAGGCCATGCTGGCTGCTGGATTCTAGGAGTTGTAATTGGAAAAAAGTAACTTTTCTTTATATATGGCTGAAGCCCTGACCCCTCTTGAATGCTCTTGCTAGGAAGTTAAGGAGGTTACATTTAACATATGAGCATGTGCTCTCTGCGGAGCCTGAACTTTAGAAAAACTACTACTAAAATCAGAACTGCCAGTTCCTCATAGGCCATGCTGGCTGCTGGATTCTAGGAGTTGTAATTGGAAAAAAGTAACTTTTCTTTATATATGGCTGAAGCCCTGACCCCTCTTGAATGCTCTTGCTAGGAAGTTAAGGAGGTTACATTTAACATATGAGCATGTGCTAGGGCATGGCTGAGACACCCCTTGAACCCTTGGCAAGTTGGAAGATGACCACGAGCCCTCAAGAGCTACAGGTAGTTTAGGAGAAAGATCTTAAAATAGTTCCCCAAAGTTGATTTTCTTATTTTTATTTTTCTCCTTGGGAGAGTCTAGGGGAGTCGTTTCTTTGTCATGGTGTCCCAGAGGTGAGTTCTGAAGTTTCCAAGGACAGAAATATCTGGGTTCATGAGAAAAAAAATGGTGGGGACATCTATTGTGTCCATTAGCTCCTCATTAGCTTGCTTCCTACTTTTTGGAGACGGCTACTCGCAGAGCAATGATGCTGAAGAGGCTGAAATTGACCACAACAGGAAAGTTTGGCTTTGGAGTTCAAAACAAAGCAGGGCAAAGGCTAATAGAGTTTTGTCAAGAGAACAAGCTGGTCGTCATAAACACTCTTTTCCAACAACACAAGAAGCGACTCTACACATGGACACCACCAGAGGGGCAATACCGAAATCAGATTGATTATGTTATCTGCAGCCAAAGATGGAGAAGCTCTATACAGTCAGCAAGACCTAGAGCTGATTGTGGCTCTGATCATCAGCTTCTTATAGCAAAACTCAAGTTTAAACTGGAGAAAGTAGGAAAAACCACGGGGCTAGTCAGGTATAAACTAAACCAAATCCCTTATGAATACACAGTGGAAGTGAAGAACAGATTTAAGACACTAGATTTGGTGGGCAGAGTGCCTGAAGAACTATGGTTGGTGGCTCGTAACATTGTACAGGAGGCTGCATCAAAAATCATCCCAAAAAATAAGGAAATGCAAGAAAGCAAAGTGGCTGTCCAGCAAGGCCTTACAAATAGCAGAGAAGAGAAGGG